TACTGAAGTATGTTTGGATTTCGCTTGGTAATCTTGAAGCAGAAGGGTACGTCCAAAATTAACGCGGTGCTTTGTAGGACCGCGTTAAATTTGTAGTTCTGCGAGTGGCAATATAATTTGACAAACTGATTTTTTTTCTTTACCGTTAAATAAAATATTGAATATATTATACTTGACATTAAATCATAATTACAGAATATATTGATACCCATACCCATATATGTATATAGGAATAAATCTAAATGTATATATAGATATAAACTAAATAATTTAATATATAACTAAGCCTAAGCTAACTTATCATAGTGGTGATAGTTATTATTAATCAAACGATAAAAGATTATGTTCTTCTTTATGCACTACTCCAACTTTGTCTTGAAACTCACATGTTTATTATTTTAAGCTGTGTTAGTAGGTTTTTTTATGGGACAAGCCGGTAAACTAGCAGACGGATCACCTGATGGTAAGCAATCGGCGTCGCCCGTGGACACCTGGAATACCAGAGGCGTTACAAGTGCGCTACCGACCTTTTGGGGATTAGGAGTTTGAGGATCATTGGGGATTCAGGGATTGGGGGATTGGGGAAGGGGAGGGTAATTGAGCCTCCGGCAACCTCACTCACACGACGAAACACAACGCAAGCGTTACTTCACGTCGGTTTTCTGTGAGGCCGTGGTAGTCGAAGTATTCTTCCTGTTTTGTAATAATAGGACATAATGCAAGAGGAATAGTCATACGAATGAAAATAGAAGACAGAAATGGATTACAGTCACTATAGATTTTTTTTTTAAGGGGGGAAAATCATCGAATGACTGCTCCCGCCTGGGTGAGGCGGAAGGGAGTGTCAGACTCTTACTGACTAAAAACCACCCCGTTCCTTCTCCTGCACGTCGAGCCGGAGCCCCGGTTACCCGTTAGGTTCATCGCGACAGTCACTATAGATAAGGTAATTTTGATCCTGGGGACGCGAGTGAAGCCACTGACAGAAACTAGTGTATTCATGTATTGTATGAGTAAATAGAGAGGATATTACAGTGTCCTAGTTATGGTATTCGCAATATAAAGGCCGAGCTATCTTTATAATACAGTTCCCAGCGTAAATGTGGATGTAACAATTTTCGAATTCAGGATACGACACGTCTAGGGGAGGCTTTCATATGATTTGTGTACCTGCCGGCAATTTCCTTTCAAGAGTGTTCTATTTAAAGTATGTGGTGTAACTAGTTTAGTGGTAGCTCGTTTGTAGATTTTATGTTATTGATAAATGTTTATAGTTGCGTTTATAATTTGGAATTGCAGATTGGATATTGGGAATAGGGGCTCACTCACACGGTGAAACACACCAAAAACATGATTTCACGCTTGTGATGTGACGCATGACCGATTCGTACTGAAACAAGGCTTTACCGCGTAAAAGTTATTTTTTCAGCATTTACATTTAGTTCTTAAGTTTAAATAAAGTTCTTTAATCCGCTTAGAAGCACCGTGATAATTAATGCCCATTCCTGCTCCGTGTGAATAGAGACTATCAGGCTCAGCAGTGGGCATTTAAAGGCTGTCGATGATGATGATGGTGATGAAGTAAAGTTCTACTAGCTTCGTAATCTAGTAGCATTGTGTAAAACTGACTTCATCCTGCTGTATTGTACAATTTAAACTAAACTTTATACTGGAATGAAAATCAGCATTTGTAACAAACAGAAAGGTGTCTCGTGCAAACTTTTCAAACCATTATGCAGTAAAAGCTGTTCAAATAACAACTGCTGCATTTCATTCGTGTTTCTTTTGTGCTTCAAGTAAAAGGTTTTAACTGAAATAACAAGGTTTTGTGTAATAGAAGTATGAGCGTCTCAAATGCTTGAACTTACATTGCATTCGAAAGTTATGATTAAATCAGAATAAAACAATGAATGTAAGGATATCAAATAAAATGTGAAGTCTCAGGACGTAATTCTCCACAGGTAAATTTATACCTTAAATGTCAAGGGAAACTACGTGTTAAAATGCCCAAATTGGCGTATAATTCAATCCCAAAAATACACAAACAATAAAACGTTTAACAAAAGCGAAAATTCTACAATCCAATCTGTTAATCCGTAGCTGTTGTCAAATGTGTGAAATGGACATTTCATTTATTAAATCACCTAACAAATTTCATTTCGTGTGAGTTCGTTGTTTTTTCGAAAAGTTCGTATCGTCCTCCCGTTTCAATGTGAATATTGTTCAGCCGTCACTAACAGAGTTTGAAGTTGTATACTATTGTCGCGATTACGACAAAAATATTCGTGCATTTATGTCACGCAAGAGTTAGAAATGTCCTTCTATATTCGTATAGTTCCGGACTAACAACATTAAGCTGCAGAGTCATATCGGATTTTTAGTCGGACTTAAATAACTGCTTTTCAATTCTTTTTAGGAGTGTTTTAATTTATCTAAAACTCAATCTCAACCGTAGGTACCTACATCGTTATCCAAGTAAGTAATGAAAATAATTATATTCATAAAGATTTGTTGGAATCTATTTCCAAAAATACGAATTTGAGAGCACGTGTTCGTAATACTATCGGAATCTGTCGTTAATGTAATTCTCTATAAAATCTGTCGAAAGCACTTTTCACTGATTAGAGTCGGGAATATCGTTATTTCGGATGATGGATCGTTACCCAGTGTAATGACACCGTTCGCTTGGATTGACCCCTCTAAACAGACGAATGACATACAAAAGGTTATCGGAGATCGATTCCGATGAATGTCGACTCTTTCCATGTTATTTCTATTTGATTGCGAGCGGACGGTACTAACAATGAACTATCGGAATCTAGTCATATGTCATTACTAGTAGATAGATACATATTAGTACGAAGGTTTGTGAGAATCACCAATTTAGTATTTATAATGTTTTGAAGTAAATACAGTATATTAGTATTCAACTTGGCCTGTCTGCGTCGCGTCGGCTTGGTTTGGTGAAAATTTAATCAGTTCCAAACTTGTTTGTACTTTGATTTACTTGAGTTTCTTGTACTTGCGGTTGTATAACTTGTTACTTTATTACTTTATTGATAGGAAATATTTTAATAATTCAATTTATAGTTGACATAGATGTCTATTAGTAGAAAATAACTGCTGCGGCCTAATTACAAGGATAAATAATAATAATTGTCTTGTCCATTATCTTTATGAAGCTATCAATATAATCAGTTGACCAAAGAGACAATAAATGTGTACCTAACATTAATAGCATAAATACAGAACACATGGAAAAGTATTATTGAGTGGGCGTTAAACATACCATTATCGGTGTCTTGACATGACGGCGATATATAATATTATGCAACACTCAGTATTAAACATCTAATCATAATACGTTTATATATTTAATCTAATAATGAACTGTTGTTTGTTTAAAACATTAACGGCATTAGCTTTTAATCGAATCAAAGGTTTAACGAGTTGGAGCATAAAATTTAGATTTATAGCCAATTCCGTTTCAAGTTTTAAATGTTTGACGTAAAATGGGATGTCCTATCCGACGGATCCCTAGGCCGTCGTCGGGATCGTGTTTCCGTACCTACTTAGAATCATTCTAACTTTGGATATTTGGATAAAGTGAGTTTCGTAAACTGAGCGAATACGTCCACTTTATGGGTTACGGCAGTGCTTGAGCAACTTTGTGATACTACCCGACCCTTGTTTTCATTTTGCTTGTTTCGTTACGAGGTACGAACGTCGAATTGAAATCTCTATGAGGCAATGAGTATAAAACTTTTGTCTATTACTTTCAGCTGGCCGAATCAGATTGTCTGTTCATTAAAGAATTGATATAAATTCCTTATTTCTAAATATCACTGTCGTTCTCAAATTCGGAAATAAGATGCCTGATGATGCTTTGCGGTTTACCTGTAACTGACGAAGAAAAGTGCTGTATTGTGTGTTACGGAATGCTACTCATGGATATTAGCCCCTACAAGGCTTGAAAGTAGTCGAGCTCCGCGTCAAACAATTACGTGAGTAAACCGAAAAACATAATAATAAAAGATATAATACAAATATGAATTGCCAAATAACGAGGTTCATAATCTTGTGCTAATAAGGAGGCTATAAAATAAGGGACTTTGAAATGAAATGGAGATATCTAACAGACTTTTACGTTTTACCTCCATATGCAGCCATTTTTCATGTGATATCCTCGGTCGTCAGCTACGGAAATAAAACGCACGACGGAGTAACGAGTTTACATTTTGGAAAAAGTAACCTGAAAATATTTTCTTAGTAAATATTTTGTAGCTCGTGCAGCTCGCGTCAAATATGCTAATGACACTGAATATGCAGAGCTTGGAATTTTAATCAGTTTGTATTTTTGCATCTGAAAACATACATCATGTTGCTTTGACACACCAGAAACTGTAGTTGATAATAATGTTAGTTAGATGTTAGATGGTAGACAGAATTTGAGCCGTATGACGTTTAAAGTAGTCCTGACATAATATCAAACGATGTCAGCTTCTCCTGCAGCCTTTGAAGGTAATTAAAAACATACTCCTCATTCTTATAAGTTGCGGCGAAGAATTGTATATATACACACACGTTTAAAATTATGCAGTGAAATAAATAAAGCATTTTTATAAGAATAGCACATTTATTACGTGAAGTAGTGTACAATACATTATGGCACTTCGTTGCGCATTATTATTAGATATTATATTCCTTATTACTAAATACTTATAAATATGAAAAACAACGTACAAAATACTGGTTACACTGACACGGAATCTCCAATCGAACGAACAACATGTATACGCCTGATCCTCCGAGGAGGCGTCGCGTCCTCCCCACAGTTCGACAAAGGCGGTATTACGTCCCATATAATAGGGAGTGAACTATCGCCGCTCGTCTAGCTATTCCAACTCCGGGTCCCCCTGAGAATTTTCTTTTAGGAAAAAGTTCTCGAACCGAGGAGTCGACGGCAGAGCAATGTGGCGGTCGAGTGAGGTTAGTCGGTTCTAACCGTGGCCCCTGGAGTGTGCGTGGTCGAGCTGTCGACAGGCGTTGCAGCAGTACTTGCGGAAGGGCGGCACGAGGCAGTGGCGCGCGAGCTGGTCGCGCTCGAAGAGCTCGCAGTACTGCGTGGTGTCGGCGGGCGGGCAGGCGGCGGGCGGCGCGCGCGCCCCGCAGCCGCGCACGCGGCAGCGCCGGTGTCGCTCGCGCGGCTTGGCGCCGCACTGCCGCGCGTCCGCCGCCGGACACACCAGCGGCCGCCGCGAGATGCCGCGCCCGCACGTTGTGGAGCACTGCCGACAACAACACATGTACGTCATCTAATTACACTCATTGCTTTAGCCCATTGGGAATAAGTGGGAACTATAATTGCCGATTGCGTCCACTACAACGACCCCTGAGTGCCTAGCACGAATAATTATCGCATTCGTAACGTAATAGTATCGAGCCCGTTCGGCGCTCTGATTGGCCGGTTCAAGTGAACCAACCAATCAGAACCCTTAACTCGCTCGATATTGTTACGATACGAATGCGATAGTTATTTTTGCTTGGCTCTCTGCATTCTGCTTTAGCTTTCTGCAAATTCGATAAATTAAATAACAATAGTTTAGTTTATATAGCAATTGGCTTTCCACAGTCTCTGCCCAAAACTACTGGAGACCGGATGTGATTATGTATGTATATAATTCCTCATGAAAAGTCTTAATATACGATACGAGAGCGAAGCCTCTAATATTATTTTTGGTTTGCCTATCACGGCGCTCTAAATAGCTTATCTAGTTAAGTACAAACCTCAGTGTGCTCAAACAACATTCACCTCACAAACCGCCAATTAGCTGCGGATGAAACAGTTCCGCGAACTAGTAAATTAAACCAATTTGCAGCCACATCTCGCCTGTATTTGCACGTAATGCATTGCAAGGTTTCCACTGAAGTGGGTCACACCGTGCGCAGTTGTACCTGCCACAAATACTATATGCTACGATATCATATGTTCGATACCTGCCACGGCTTTGTACATTATCCTGTAGACGACATTTTCAGCTTGAGAGCCTCTTTGTGTAAAATAAACTTAGGCTATACAAACTAGGCCACTCATGGCTTCATGACTTTTTCATGAAGGTTCACTTTACATTTATATACGGCACCTCTATGTTAACGGTTGGTTACACTCCAGTCTTATGTAGATGCGTAACAACATACATATTTACGGGACAGAAAAAATCAGGAATTTGTCGTCTTCTCGTTTTATATAGATAGGCGTAGTATATATTGGTACAGCTTTAATCTTTGTGAGCTTTTACCTACGAACACAGAGAATATTTGATGGTCGCAGTGGTTTGTAGTTACTTTGTTGTCTGTCTGCTGTCGTACATGTAATGTATTGCTGTGGTTTCATATTATGAATATGGACATATTTAACGCTCATAAAGTTTTAATGATCGGTGGTGGAAATTCGATCCTAATTAATTATGGCTACATGTATTTTCACGATCTGTAATAATTTAAGCAGGTAAAACCTAATCTATAACTTTAAAGGGTGATCAGTATTAAATAGTTAAGTTTACCCATGTAATAATAAATCGTTTTCTTTGTCTATGTAGCATAATGCAGTATATAGGTCCATATTATTACCTGAGTCCACGGCAACTCCCTCCAGTAGACAGGACAAGATATTCGGTTACACGGCTGATATTTGCTCGGCTTCGGTGACGTACACAACGCCGGGGACACGCTGTTCTTTATGAGCTCTCTTCTTGATGTTGTACTGTAATATATTGGTAATGTCAGCTTATTCCAATTATTCTTATCAGCTATTGCTTTGTCGCTATCTGTTCTTCTCCTTCTACTACTTCTTGTACATTTTAAATAATAATGTGAAGTGATTACTTAACATTAACAATATAATTTTATGTTTACCTAATCACTGTATGTAACAGAATAATTTTACTATGTGTATAAGCTGCACCCAGCCATTGTGGCAACTGTGCAGTGACATTAAATACAGGTGATACACGATAATATATATATGTATGTTTAAAAACACAACTATCTATAATTATCTTTATAACATAAAATAAATACGCGATAATAAAATAGACGCGAGTAGACAAACAACTGTCTGACCTTCTTAGTTCCCCACCTTTGATCTTTTACCTGTGAACAGCTGTAGTCAACGGTAAAATTGCTCGGGTTCTACGAGATTTTGAATCTAGATTTCAAATATGCTCTCGATATTTTTCTACAATACGATATTAGAAGAAAGACAAAGAAAAAAAGGGGATTGAAGACGGAGGACTTTATACGAATAATAGACTAATAGATAGTATTGATGGACAAAGTGACGACTTTAGTGCATATAATGGAGTGTAGCGGCAAACGAGCACATGGATCACCTGATGCACGCAATACCAGAGAAGTTACAAGGGAGTTACCAATTTTTTGGTAGTTGAGGATTTGAGAATTTGGGTATTTCCATTTTCCCAACCTTGCCCACGCGGCGAAGCATAACGCAAGCATTACCTAGTAACTGATTTGTTTGCCTAAGTTGATCTTTAACTGATGACCGTGTTGTGATTCAGCAGTTTTTTTTGAATCTCTACTATAGGATATCATAGCCTATTTGAAATTGCATACATCGTTGTATACCTGCTATAAATAAAGATAGGTTAAGTAGAAAAACATTATACGTTACCTGACATTCAGTGGTACACAGAACAGCTGCCTCTCATGCACGCCCTCGTGTCCACACGTGGCGCTGCACTCCTCCCACTCGCCACCAACCCACGTGAACTCACAACTGGGGAGAGCAAAAATACTGATGTTACAATCTGACTGCCGTTTCAGATATTGTAACTTAGTACAAAAATTGTTATTTTTTTTTTGAGGGAGGATAATCATCCTACGACTAATCCCGCCTTGGGTTAAGCGAGAGGGAGTGTCAGACTGTTACTGACTAATAACCACCCCGTTCCTACTCCTGCTCTCCGTTAAAGGCCTTCCGCATCTCTGTATCGGGCTACAGCCCTGCTGGGCCCCATCTGTGGTGGTCTAATCGCTACAAAAATAGGTAGGTAGTAGATATTGTTGTGAGATCTGCCGAGGTATGGAAGTTATTGCCACAAGCCAACACGTGAACGTGTTGTCCTCAATTGGTACCTACCTTGAGAAATACCTAGGCTTCGAAGAGAACGTAAAACAGTTTGTTTTAATTGTCATAACAACATCTTAATCTGGTAACGTCTCAGTGTCGGCCGCAATCTAGTTGAAACGAGCACAGTCACGAAAGTAACAATTTTTATATCTGTACTCTACATAAAATTTTATATCAACAACTGAAAATTGAGGGCAAATTCTCCGTAAATGCTGGTAAGTACAAGAATGAAGCCAGAAAATTACAGGTACAAAACACCGAGGTATTTTCCTAATGATTGTAAAGCTGAGCTTCACAATAACCGCACGTGTTTTCAGGTAATTTCACGGTCGAATAAACAGGAAAGTTGAGAATTAATTTGCTCATCTTCGTAATTTAAATTACAAATTCAAGATAATGACAAAGTTGTAGGAAAGCAAATAGATTAATTTGTGATTTATGAATATTTCATGAAAGGTTCTTTTTGAGGAATATTTGTAAAGAGTTATTAATTTGGGATCGGGTCGGCCGCCACAATTAAATATTGAGTTGGGGACGGATCGATGTTTACGTAACAAAAAATGGAGCGGCACGTGTTTGCGCAGAAGGTTTATTTTTTACAACTCTATTCTACTTTCCATCTTTAACTAATATCTTCTTTAGAGCTGTTTTACTTAACTTCTTCTTCTTCTTCTTAATAGCAATAACTAAAAGGCTCATTTAATAATGATTGCTTCGTTGGCCGACTGATCACGACTGCTGTGCCAGGGGTCTCGGGTTAGATTCCCGGGTCGGGCAAAGTATAACCGGGATATTAAAAGAATTCAGTAGTACCACCGAGTCTGAAATTGTGCCCAGTACATGCCAATAGGCTCACTCCTATTACAGGGTTGTTATATTGTCGCATTCGGTGCCGTAATGTGCAACTCTGCCAATCCATTCGGGGATAAATGGCGTTATGTATGTATGCAATAATGTTATACTTTTTCTAAATATTAACCGGTCTATGACAATATTTTTGGAAACTAATCTATCAATTAACCAGGTACCTATGTACATATCTGTCTTGCAGCCGATATAAATGTAACATAAGGATAATAATTAATGTAAGACTTATTGACTTTCGGAATGGTCCTTCTATACGAGTTTCCACTTAACAATTACATATACCGTAATATGAGTCGCGCTGAATGTTTAATACGACCGGCCCGTGCCAACTCCACTTATGGAAATTAATCATACCTCGGCAGCAGTAGTTTATGATGCAATAGCGTGCCTCCTGCGTCGTGTGCATCATACATTCATTGGTTACCTTATAGCATTCGTGCTAATGCTCATTTAATAAGCAAACGCTGTAAACTCTTTAATTATATTTTACGTCTATTTATGGATAATTGAAAGAGATTAGTAGATTTTTAGGTAAGATGTTTAAAGCTATAGTAATCATCAACAGCCTGTTCTCGTCCACTGCAGGATATAGGATTCTCCAATTGCACGCCACTGAGTTTGATTTTGAGCTCTACGCATCCAAACAACACCAGCTACCATGCCGATATCGTCACTTCACCTAGATGGAGGGCTCGTTTGCCTAGACGCGGTCTATAAAGCTTATTATTAGTATTATGGTGAATATTCCTCTCGCTGTAATTGGTTTTGTCCTTAAGTTTGGGTCTTTTTTTATGGACTAGGAGGCAAACGAGCAGACGGATCACCTGATGGTAAGCGATCAGCGCCGCCCATGGACACTCGCAACACCAGAGGAGTCACAGGTGCGTTGCCGGCCTTTTAGAAAGCTTCTACGAGTTAGTGGACGTAATATCATCATGTTGGTCATATTGGAACACGCCTTGCTATAAGCGACCTATTCAGTCGAGACTTGAAGATAAGTACCCAGTTCCGACACTAGAATCTCCAAGAATTAATTACCTAAATTTAAATTGAAAGTCTTTGACTCTTGTTTAGTAGTACAAGTATGCTTATTGTTACCTATGTGTATTGCAGGCTTCGAACATAACTGGTGCGCATTTGTGATCGCGCAGGCAGCGCGGACGCACTACTCGGACACCTCCACCACACGACGCAGAACATGGCCCCCGTTCCGTAGACCATCTGTTGTAATAAAAGTATTTGGAATTTAATTTAATTTTTCTTTTTGTTATTATAATCTATATATATAAAAGAAAGTCGTGTTAGTTACACCACTTATAACTCAAGAACGGCAGAATAGATTTGGCTGAAAATTGGTAGGGAGGATTGGAGCTTAGAGCTAGGAGACCGACATAGGATACTTTTTAATCAAAATGTTTACCGAAAATCACGAACGGGGACGGGAAAAAATGGGATTACGTGTACGAAGTCGCGGGCAGAAGCTAGTAGGACATAAAACACAGGTGATAGGTTTTACATCTCGTAATAATCATGATGCACCTATCCTCTTGACAAATAAATGGATGCTTATGTTATGTATCTAAACCCAGTAATCAGGCTTTCATTATTAAAATGACGGCTTTATTATTGTTAAACGAATATAAAGTAACAATATACTTTATATTTTTGATCTCTGTGTGCTTAAATCTAGAAGACATGCGACCAACAATAAAAGAACTGAGGCAGGGAAGCTCGATGCGCTCTAGACATTAATCAACTGTCTGAGATCCTGCAACGAAATGAAATAGAAAATTGCATTGGAAAGACTATGGGTATTACAAAATACTTACACTGTATTTCATGATCTTAGTACCTTGTGAAATATTACTTTTTTTAATAAAGACTGCATAGTGTGCTTAATCGTCGAAGTTAATAAATATCTATTTATCACAACTAGACTTTTTGTAAACTGTAGATAATTAACTAGATTATTTCTTTCTATTCATCACTACATAGAATAAAACAGAGTCGCTTTCTCTGTCCATATGTCCCTTTGTATGCTTAAATCTTTGAAACTATGCAACGGATTTTAATGCGGTTTTTTTAATAGGTAGCGTGATTCAAGAGGAAGGTTTATATGTATAATACATGCATATTGCACCCATGCGAAGCTGGGGCGGGTCGCTAGTTTCGTAATATTTTCATGAATACACATACTTCAAGTAATCGTACCTAATTAATTGCACTTTGAATCGACTTTTAACGATTTTCTTTTACTATGATATCGCATTTCATTACGAAACGTTTCACAGGTGCCATAAAATTTCATTTTGTGATGCAGTGTTAGACACAGGGCTTGAATAAATTATTTTATTATATTATTGTAATTGTTTACTACATTAAACACACATGAGGGATTCGCGTAGTATTCATCAGATTTATACATAATTTATACTCGACACAAAGGCGCGACCTTTAAAGGGTGGAACTGTTTGATCGAAGCTGTTTGAAGTGCTTGTCTATCTCCGCTTCTCATGTACTTAACGACAAACGAATATCATGTTTACGATCCTTCTTGTGTAATAATTACATTTAATAACAGTATAATAAATCTGTCTGTTAGTCAGCAATGTTAATTGCTTTCGTATTTATTATTTTTAATCAATTTGTGTAAATAATGGATAAACTGTAATGGATTTAAGAATTGAAGTATTGAGAATATTGAATTAATCATAATAAATCTCTCTATATATAGGTATATAGAAGGTAAAGTACTGATTAAAAGTATCCTTAACTGACGAGCATGCATAAAAACACTGTTAATGAAGCGAAAGGGTATGTTACAATCTTAGCAATTGGTGTTCAATAGTCTCTGCCTACCCCCATGAGAGACAGGCGTGAGGTTATGTAAGTATAAATGTATATAGAAGGTACATACTTTACATATTATCTGTCTATCTATCTATCTATTGAATTTCATGACCACCTGGATCTCTCCAAATAGGTAACAAATGTAAATGTGTTAATACATCTTTATTTCAATAATAAACGTACTCGTAAATATCTGGAACAATTTACTTACTATGAAATGGAAATATACTACAACGCTAAGTAAAGAGTAAGTTATTGTTTCCAATACAACAAACTTGGAACAGAACTTGATGTCTCCAGCTAAAACTTGCTACTACCTAGACAAATATTTGTTACAAAACTTTGATTCAAAGTTAAGGGACTGTATGCGAGGTACAATACATAAGAAAACGCACAGGTATTTGGTACTACTTCTGTAAATCTTGTGGAGATATTCATAATAGGTACCTACGACGTACACTGTCACAAGGACAATATCATAATTGTAGTGAATTCAAATTCATGAATATAAATGTGTAAAAATAATAATCGCGTCACATTAAAGACAAGTCAACTTTAGTTAAATATAACATTTTTACGATTTTTTGAGAATAATTTATTACGTATGTTAAAACATATTGAGTTACATGGACAGCTAATTAATCACGCAGCGTGTATGCAGGGCATAAATTTAAAAGAGACGTTAATTCCATATCATCGTTGATTTATAGTTGAATATGGATAATAATTTAACAGATTTCAAAGAAAATAATATATATTTTATATTTTTTTAACCCAGGCAGCGTTCTTTGATAAACATAATTCTTTTAAGCTGCGATCTCCAACTAGCTTGCCAAGTGTGGCGATTACGGCAAACCCCTCTTTTATATATCTATAGTCCAGCAGGAGACTCTCATGGATAGTTAAATCCAGTGAATTTCCAAGCAATTGAGCATAAAATTTGAGGTGTACCCTTTTCATTATATTGCTAATTTGTCATCTGAAATAATAGTCTCGCTTTATCCGACACTGAATACAATGAAAATGAAACGAGCGAAAGAACTCAATTGTGATAAGACGGAGACAGTTTCCACATGAGAAGTCTTCTTAATCATCGCTCATGTGAACACAAATGCGCAGCGCTCGACGAACGACTAATTGTTATTAAGTTTTGTCGTTAGCACAACTTTTATAGCTGTTCTAAGTGATTTATAGACCTTTATGTTTATTGACGATAAATAATAGAACAATCTTCACAATTACATTATGTGTGTAATCTAATGGATAGTAAAAACAATCTATCTTTGTAAAGGTATGTACCTCTACTAAGACACGTATTTCATTGCAAAAAAGTAATAACGAACATTTCGACAACACTAACATTCTTTTCGTTAATTAAACTCGCGCCTGGATTAATTGGTCTAAACTAATTACACGCAATGAATACACAATAGGCGTTCATTACGTCTAATTACATTGACTACAAACCAATCGTACACAATAGGTACATTACAAAGTGTTCACTAACTAAACTGAACTAGTAATACTAAGTTTGTGTATAAATCTCTATTTGTACTATAAACAAATTAAGTTGAATGTGTTTCAGAAAGAATTTTTCGTTCGATACGGCCAGACAAAGGTAAGTTTTGTTTCTCTGTATAGTACTGAACGTAGAGAGGAGCGACGGTCTCAAAGTTTATAAGATACATTACGGTTGCTTGTCCTGAGCGACAAGAGAGGGACTTTTCCAACTTGTATTGTTAATATTTATGTACGTGTAGTCGTGTACTTTTTGTGAGTATTCATAGCTGTGTCTTTGTGATATTATTGCTGTTCAAGGTTGTTAAGTTTTGTTCAAGTGAGCTTAGTGAAATCTTAACAGGTTATATCTGTACATTTTTCTTTGTATAAGATATGGAAAAATGTGTATGTACTTCTTTTTATAAAATCGTTTTAAAACATCACGTGGGTGATTCCATAGGTTTCTTTGCTCTTAGTACACACCTGCTACGCTTTGCTACGTAATGGCTACGTGCTTCGCTACATAATATTCAGAGGAGAATTACTTTACAACACTTAGTTACAAGGAGTTTGAAATAAAAAAAAAATTATATCAACCACACGGCAAAAACGTAACGAAAACTCACAAATCGCTCGGAGCAAAAACCTAAAAAACGTGCGACTCATCGGCCCATAATAAAAACCAATGTGCTTGAAATCTCTCTTTCATTGAAAATTAAGGAAAATTGTTAAAATATTTCCTTTGATTTTGCACAAAGGGAACATCCTTTTTTACAATTTTATCCTTATCAGTGGAGTTATTGCTTGTTCCTGTCGGAATAATATGAGGTGTATTATGACAAGAGAATGAGTTTGTTACCTATCTAATATAGATAATTTATATTTTTTTATTCTGAAATGAATCAAACATTAAAAAATCTGGTGGGTTTTACATAAAATAAAAGTAAATAATTGTAAATACACTAAAGGTTTTTTGTATCACCGGCATTTTACTCCGGCCAAATAGCCAATTAGGTACCTGTACTCCAAAGGTCTGGTTCGACTGGCTGGAGTGCTGTAGTTGACGGAGACTTCCACCGTCACCACCTCACCAGACACCACTGGATGCTCAGGAAACGCCTGAGGAAGAACGCATCAAACTTAACATACCTACTAATTAGATTTCATGTTAAACTAGAACTATAATACATATGACAACTAGAATTATTCAGGTAGGTTGTGAATTGTACACCTTAAATGAAAATATGTAGCACAGGTGTTGTGTATCTGTGGTATACTCTATGGTCATATATAGTCTATGGTGATAGTTTATCTATGTGCGTGGCGGAGCCCGCGGATTTTGGAAAACAATTGAATGGAATAAAGGCGTGTGTCGATAGCCTTCTCTCTTTTACTGATATTTCGTTTGATTAAATAACATATATAACATTGGCGACGAGTTTACCCACACATTTTAATTCCAAAATGAATAAATAGTTTTGGAATTTTGTCCACGTTCGATCACAATGTGCAAGAATGGAAGTCATACAAAGGCCGAATTACGCAATGGTTTATTGCAAATGATATCGTCTCGAAAAATGATGCAGTTGGAGCCAAGAGACGGGCGATCTTGCTCAGCGCACTAAGCGATGGTACTTATAAGTTGGCGGCAGACCTGGCACTGCCGAAGGATATCCAAGAAGTACCGTATGATGAGTTAGTGCAATTATTGGATGAGCATTTTCTCCCAAAGATATGTGGATTCAGCGAGCGTTACAATTTTTATGCGGCTGTGCAGCAGCCGGGTGAGTCGTACACGCAATGGGCGTCCAGGCTGAGAGGACTTACAGCACATTGTAAGTTTAGTAACGTCGAGGAAGCGTTACGAGATCGATTCGTCATGGGTATGTTAGCGGGACATGAACGGGAGAAGCTGTTCGCGCAGGACATCGACAAGCTGACCCTGGCCAAGGCAGTAGAGCTGGCAGAGAGCGTGCGGTGTGCGCGTGCGGGAGCCGCCAGTACTACGGTTGTCCACGGGCAGCAGGCACCGGTCTTCAAGATCACCAAACAAGGAAACAGTGCTAAAATCGTTAGTGCCGGTAAAATAAAGTGTACAGTGTGCGGTCGTAATAATCACGAGTCATCCCAGTGTCGGTTTGCAAGCTATAAATGCAATAAGTGTAACACCAAGGGTCACCTGCGTAAAGTTTGTAATAAGGTGAATTACGTGTCTGCGGGTGATGTGAGCGGGGATGACGACGACGGTAAGTCATTGTTTAACATACGCTCAGTCCGTGGGGAACCAATGACGGAATCAGTTTCAATTTACGGGAAGAATTTACAATTTCAAATAGATAGTGGATCAGCGGTGACGGTTATATCCGAAAGTACGTATAAAAAGATGTTCAGTAATGTTCCGTTGCTTGATTCAAATAAAAGTTTTTTTAGTTACACTGGCAATATTATACATTGTGTTGGATACGTAAACTTGCCAGTGACGTACATGCAACACACTCACTCACTGGATGTATACGTCATCCGTAACGGCGGACCACCGTTATTAGGCAGAGATTTTTATCAAAATTTAAACTTAATCTGACGCCTTTCACTTTCTGAGAGGTCAGGTATGGTGGACCAGTTGCAATTAAGATTCCCAGAACTATTTTCTGATAAGCTTGGTACCTTTAATAAATATCGTGTTAAATTAAAATTAAAGGATAATGTGAAACCGATATTCTGTAAAGCGCGTCCAATTGCGTTTGCGTTGCGTGATAGGGTGGACAAAGAGTTAACACGTTTAGTTGATCTAGGTGTCCTGAAACCGGTATCGCACTCTGAGTACGCGTCACCTATTGTTCCCGTGCTGAAGCACAACGGCTCGGTTAGGTTGTGCGCCGACTATTCGGTTACTATTAACAAACAGCTATTGATAGAACAATATCCTTTACCCACGGTACATGAACTGTTTTCAAGACTGTACGGAGGTCAACAGTTCTCAAAAATTGATTTCTATGGCCTATAATCAGTTTGTGTTAGACGAAGAGTCCCAACCAGTTACATGTATTAATACACATCGAGGTCTATTTAATTATACTCGACTAGTTTTTGGGTTGTCTAGCGCCCCGTCTATATTCCAACGCGCTATGGAAACAATACTTTCGGGACTAGACGGTGTCTTATGTTTGCTCGACGACATTTTAGTCACTGACCAAACCCGGAGAGACATTTGAAGAAGTTGAACATAGTTCTGCAAAGGCTTCAGGATGCGGGGTTAACAGTGCAAAAAGAAAAATGTGAATTTTTTAAAAATGAAATTAAATATTTAGGTTATATAATAACCAAGGATGGGTTACAGAAAGACCTGCAAAGGTTAAAGCTATAGCTGAGGCGCCTGTTCCTTCCGATATTAATACCCTACAGTCATTTTTAGGACTGGTAAATTACTACAGAAATTTTGTGGCTGGGGCATCCTATATCCTGAGTCCTTTGTATGAACTATTAAAAAAAGGAGTAAAGTGGAACTGGTCTACGTTACATCAACATGCATTTGATAAAATTAAGAAATGTTTAACGTCTGATCAGGTTCTAACACACTTTAACCCAAATGCCAAAGTAGTGTTAACTGTGGATGCGTCTCCGAATGGCTTGGGAGGTATTTGTCTCAAATAGATAAGGACGGGGTAGAGCGCCCAGTAGCATTCGCTTCCCGCACATTGAACGCGGCTGAGAAAAATATTCACAAATACAGAAGGAAGCGACTGCAATAATATTTGGTATACGTCGGTTCCATCAGTACTTATACGGGAGATCAGATCCTTTTATATTACGCACGGATCATAAGCCATTAATATCTATCTTTGGTCCTCATAAAGGTATACCAGAGGTATCCGCTAACAGATTGCAGAGATATGCGATGTTTTTAGGGGCATATAATTACGTTATTGAGTATGTTCGTAGTGCTGATAACAACGCGGATTACCTTTCTCGGGCAGTTTGCAGTGTGAGTTAGGACGTGATCGCGCCATGAGCGAGGGCGACAACATCGGCGTACACGCCGCCGCGGCCGCCGCCCCCATTGATCGAGCATCATATGTCAACTTTGTTGTCGATGGCGACATGCCGTTGACTTTGAAGGAGTTACGTAATGCCACTAATGAGGATACTGTTTTACAGTTAGTTGTGAAATATGTTCAAAACGGTTGGCCTAACAAATTAGTGAACTCACAGTTAAAACCATATCATTTGTGTAAGACACAATTGTCCTACGAAGATGGTTGTTTGATGAGGGCCACAAGGTGGTACTTCCCGAAGTATTGCGCTCGAAGGTTTTAGCAGAGTTACATACTTCACATTTAGGCATGGTAAAAACGAAATCAGAAGCTAGATCACGTTTTTGGTTCCCAGGCATTGATGCGGCGCTGGAAAGAATGATACATTCGTGTGAAATATGCAAACAGCTACGGCCGTCGCCGCCCGGGCACCCCTAGCACCTTGGAAGTTTCCACTTACACCATTTCATAGATTACATATAGACTTCCTCGGCCCCTTGAATAATCAAATGTTCTTGGTAGTGGTAGATGCTCACACTAAATGGTTAGAAGTGTACGACGTGAGCAGCTCTACCGCTTCGGCAACTGTTGTTGAAAAACTCTACGATTTTATGTCTAAATATGGATTACCTCACGTAATAGTTAGCGATAACGGTACTGCGTTTACATCCGCTGAATTCACGAAATTTTGTTTATTAAATGGGATTACTCATCTTACATCACCCCTTACAACCCTGCTAGTAATGGACAAGCAGAAAGCTTCGTAAAAATTGTAAAGAAGGGTATAAAATCAAGTATTTTAGGTTCTCGCAGTAGGAATGAGTGTAAATTAAAATTGTTAAAGTATTTGTTCGATTATAGAAATTCAGTGCATTCCGTCACGGGCTTCTCACCCGCTGAGTTGGTGTTTGGGCGAAAACTCAGAACACGTCTGGATTTAATCCACCCAAATTTAACGTCTACCCACTCACATCACTAATTAACGATGTTAATAAAAAGCAGTGCTCGCAAATTAAGTACTATGGTGGCAATAACAAACATGTGTATGAACCGGGAGATGAAGTCATGTTTAAAAAATATATGAACAATTCTAAATATATGTGGTGCAAAGGTACCATTATTAGAAGACTCGGTAAAGTGTTGTATTTGATCAAAGACCACATAACTTCAACAGATGTCAAAAAGCATAAAAATCAAATAGTTGTGTATAAAGGTATATCTCAACCAGTAGATTTAGATGATGTATTGTTAGACGACGAACCCGGGGACACTCAGTTGCTTGACAGTGGGGAGAGAGGAAGGAACGAGGTGGAATTGTCATCCTCACCTTCTCCCCAAGATATGAGATGTTCCAGCAAACTGTTGCGGGACATACCCAGGGTTGATTACAAGCAGTTCTTTTAAGATTCAGTTGTATTTATCTATTAGTGTATTTAATAAGGGGAGGGATTGTTGTGTATCTGTGGTATACTCTATGGTCATATATAGTCTATGGTGATAGTTTATCTATGTGCGTGGCGGAGCCCGCGGATTTTGGAAAACAATTGAATGGAATAAAGGCGTGTGTCGATAGCCTTCTCTCTTTTACTGATATTTCGTTTGATTAAATAACATATATAACAACAGGGAATTCTAGTTAAATTAAAATTAAAAATTAAGCGGTTAAAAACCGTCGCGGTTCCGCCGTAGACCCGTAGCGCGACCGGGCCTAAAAACCACTATAATTTAAGTAAACTGCTAAAATACCTATTTGTTATAGTAAAATAAAATAATAATACAATCAGTGTGTATAACTCCACTGGTCCAATTAAAACCGTCGCTGAATAATTAAATGGCCGCGAATGCTACACCCTTATCAACAAACGTTTCACCTCGTTACACTTCATAGTTATTCCCTTTTGTAAAACGTGTTATGAACCACACAATGACTGAATTAGCTAGTTTGTTTAGAATTCAAAATCTGAAAATAATTGGTGTTAATGTAGGCAAGGGTCGGCGGGCCGTGAAGGGACCTTATAAAAATTTCCGGCCCTAAACGTGACATTTATTATTTGTACGTGGAAAACTCCGGGGTCTTTATGTAGGTGGTTATATAAGTTGTTATAAAGCAGAGCAGAGGTAAATAAGTTGAACGCCCAAGAATTGCGCATGCTGAATTGCTTTTTTATATTTGATAGGCCGACGGTTGGCCACTATCTCGCCTGGTGGTAATCGATGATGCGGTCTACGATGGAACACGTCGATCCATAAACAATACTTTTGTTTTTATGATAATGCTATAATTGGATTTTGTAGGTAGTATGGTCATTAGTTAAAGTTAATTGAAAGTCTCGAGTCATTCATCAGTTTAGTCAAAATGTTAATGACTCATAAATAAATCTTATGTCACAATTTAAAAACCTTAATACAGTCTTAATCTTGTATGATGTAAATCTTGTATGATATAACTAACGATTGCGCAAACCATTATAAGTTTAAGACCATCAAATTGTAACCGAAATAAAACCTACCGACAATAAAATAACCAATAAAGCAATATTTTATTCCTAGGAACACGGGTTTTGTTCTCTAAAGAACGGGGAACGTCTTGGGTCGTAGTTGGATATAAAATCCGTCATAATCCTTAAGGCAGCGCAGCCAAGTTTGCTCGTAGTGAAGAAGCGAATGCTTTCAAAGTCTACCTCGTTAATAAAAGCTCAGGCTCCAACTAAAGATGAGCAGGAAACGAGCGAGGTTTACTCAACCGTGTGATTCACGCGTAATTGAAATACTGAACAATGACATGTTCTGTGTGTTTGTTAACTAGTTGCTAGTAGAATATTGTTCGTGTTTGGGAATCATTTGCAGTATACTTTACCAATGTATGTATGTATCAAAAGCTTCTTGATTGTCAATTACAAATAAATGTTATTACTAGACTACATTTCGATCCTTTTTATAGACGGGGACAATCGTCCAATGACTTCTCCCGCCTTGGGTGAGATACATTTAGATCTTAGCATGACTATCTGTAGAATCTTTATGCTACTTATTATGAATTCGATATTTATTAATTGATTTCCTAATACAATTCCTGAAATTATGTCATCATTTTAATGATATATATGTAGCTTAAGTAATCGCGTATCTTCAGGTGTAGCATCGCTTTCAAAGTTGTATAAAATGTTAGACTTACCATAATCATTAAGTCAGTTTGCAGGCGAGACTCGGAGGATATAAAGACATCTGTGTCGGTTCGAGTCCAGCGCAGGAGCGTGCCAGATGCCACTACCTCTCCCTCCCAGCGAGCTCCCTCCTTTATATCAATGACATGATTGTCCATTTCTATAATCTGCAAGTTCTGTGGCACATTGGGATCATACTTCAAGTATTTGTCCTGTTTACTATCGATGTCGTAACGTTTTGAATGTTTCATTAAGTCCAAGATCTGTTTGTCACGTTTCTTTTCTCGCATTGCAATGTTCAGAGGTATTGGTGTCGCGATGTGAACCGATAGTTGGTGAGCGTCGTGTGGGATCATTGTCATGCGAGTCCAACCTGGTAATATGGAAAATAATATGAAGAGATGGTTTATTAACATATACATAGATATAAATATATAGAAGAGCTTAGTTAGTAAATTTTAAACTCTTTTATGTCCTGTTTCTGTTTGTAAAGATAAAGATATTTTTCTCGAACAAATACTTTATTTCTTTTATGGAAATCAATCACACTTTCAATTATTTTAGCAGATAAATTATTAGTAAGCAATTATCAGCTCGAATTCTAAAAGTAATTAGAGTAATAAGTATTGAATAGAAATCGATAACTTGTAGACAAAGTACAAAGCCCGGTAATTTCATTCCGATTCTCAGATTTAAGTAAAATTTTCTGAGCTAAGCTTAAAAACTTTTGAGGCATTAAACCTTACAGTTGAAATATTGCGTCTTTACAGGATTTGATATATCACGGGCGGTCGTTGACCTTCACAAATATTAGAGAACTTAGCTTCAGACAGACGTAGTTTATCAGATTCGTCTGAGCAACTATTCTGAATGAAATCTAAGTGAATTACTCTTTTGCTTCAGAGCGTTCACTTACACTCCAAAACCTCGGTGCTAGATAAAATCAGTTCAGTTTGCTCGCTTTGTTCGACGCTGTTTGAAGCCAAAGTTTTAACTATTCAGGCGATAATATCTTACAATATAATTGTTTTCGCCAACAAAATGTTTTGATTGCAGTTTTATTTTGAACTTATAATGTTATAATATTAAGAATACTTATTGCTTATGTGTAAGACAAGAATAAAAATAATTAATGATTTAATTGAAAACACGAAAATCAGTATTTCAAGCTAATATCAATTAATTGTCGTCTTATTACAAAAGATTAATGAAGTTACAATTTCTCTGAAGGTATTAAAACTGGTGAATTACGAACTCTAGCATTAGACTAATGCCAACCTCTTTTAAATTTCAAGGAATTCCTAAGCTAAGCTAGGAGACAGTTAACCACATTTTGGGTTTTCATAATGACCTAATAATGGTACAAGTAAGTAGTTTAGTTCCCACACGTTAAGTAACTCTTATTCAGAGAGGGGTGGTTGGTAAAAACGGTCATAAATCTACCGAATCACTGCAGGAATAGGTTCATAATAGTACATAAATATATGTAATAAGATTATTGTTACCATTGCCAAGTTGTCGTGTGTAAACATGTGTGTTGTTGTTGCAGTATCCGTCCGGACACCAGTTGCAGATCGAATCCGAAGAGTTGCAGTGTCCTTGGACACACGTACCCTGGAGAGAGAATAATAATATACATTGTAGATTCGTGTTAAACATTTGTATTAGGTACTGTACTATAATAATAATCACAATAAGTAGCAATTTGGTCCTCAATGGGACGATGAATTGTTTCAGAAAAACTCTTGAATATCAATTCGTTGCGTATAATAAATGTAAACATACATCAAATTCTGAAGACATAAGAATTGAGTTATACTTTTCTTTTTTTTATAGGGGGGAAAATCGTCGTATGAATTGCGTTATACTAGTCCTTTTAAACACGATTTCTTCGAAACAACATACATAACTTAATGCCCGTCTCCCAAGGGGGTAGGCAGAGACAATGGAACGCCAATTGCTACGATTCTTACATATCACTTTAGCTTCATCAAACATCGAATTATTCGAAATAATGTTACATAACGCCTTATATTCCTGCAGGGGTAAGCAGAGGTGCACATTACGGCACTTAATGCCACTGTGCAATGTTACACCCACTTTTCCACTATTTATGTTATGAGTGCCATGTACTAGGAGGTGAGCCTATTTCCATATACCGGCCACAATTGAAGACTCCGTGCTACTAGCAATAGTCTTCAGTTGTGGTAATTCGAAATAAGCCCATTCTTAATAATTTTTATGGAAAGGAATAACGAAGTATCTCTATTACACTTAATACATAACGATTTTAAAGACATTACTAAAAGGAAAACGGTGTCTCAAGTTGAAAATAAAACGATGAAAAATAAAAAAGCATTTTTGTAAAATAAGTACCTCTGAGAGTTTTCCACTTTGTTGTAAGAAGTGGCTTCAGTTAGGGACCTTTAATTAATTTGATGTTATAATTTGTTGTGAGTGTCATTTAATAATACGTTTGTGGGTGTTTAAGAACCTTGTTGTCTGTTTGTCAGTATAAGGATGTAGTAGAATAAGTATTTTTACAATATTTTTTTAACTTGCAATGTATGTCTATGTATGTATGTGTGCAAAGTGGAATCTTGCTACTTTTGCATATATCTTTAACCGATTGAGCAGTAATTTTGTACAGATAGTTAGTAGTCTAGTTTGCGTAATCATAAATGCAGAGCTGCATAAAAGTTTGTTTTTAAAAAAAAATTAATTCAAATGATTACATTTCAAAACTCTCATTCGTAACTCAGAAACGGGAATTTTTCTTAGTTTGACAATAAGATTACTAGCTATTTTCACTTAACCCAGTCTTTAGCAATGTTTTTGGAACAAAATCGTTACTAAGGAATAGTTTAAGTAATCATGAAATGTCTCCGAGTACGGCATTAAGACTATCAATATAGTATTATTGATTCCTTCCTATTTCTTCACGTGTGATCTCAATATTTTAACCATGTTACATAATTTGAGCCTGGCAACAATATTGTATCATTCCATACGTAAATAATTCGAAGATTCGAATACGAAACGAGCCAGATGTAGCTCGGGTAATGGATTATAAACGAGTGAGGCAGCGTTTCTAGATTCCTTAGGAATTTCATTACAGTCCTACATTATTCGGTAGTTTCGATTCAGTCGGTTTGGAGCCCTAACCCATTTAGTTGCTAAACAGAATACGTAATCTTATAACATGCCATCTAAATGCGCAGTCGACCGTACATCTATTGGAAAAATGACACCTAGACGGCTCTTATGTCCGTGTAGTAAGGGCTATTTTATCCGTTCTAGTGTTATGTCAGTTCCAGAGATTTTTGAACATATTTTAAGCTTGCTTTGTGTGGTGAAGTTCGTTCTTCAATGCTTTTTAATGGAGAATAACAATCGTATGATTTACTTGTTCATAAAAAGAATAGGTACGTATTCTTTTTCCTAAGCTTGCCTCACTCTAGAGTTGATAAACACAAAATAAAGACGTACAACGGACGCTTTAGATTTATCATCGATTTTTATAAGATTAGACCATTACTCATTCAGTTTCTGACCACCTGTAATGACAATATAATAATTAAATGTAAAGTATTTGTAGTTACCTGGAAGCACACATCATAAGGTCTGTTGTAGCTACAGGGTGTTCCATCTGGGAGGGCGCCAAAGTTCGACGGACCTCCGCCGCCATAGTCCACACACCACACCTCACAGTGTTGAGTTTCTAGAACACACACATACAATCTTACATACAAATATTATAAATGGGAAAATTTGTAAATATGTTTGTTACCCAATCATGTCAAAACGGTCGAAGAGATTAGGAATCGGGATGTTTCGAACAGGGGTAGATAATGGTGTGGAATATACACATAGGCTACTTTTTATACCACAGAAACGTGGGCGAAGCTGCTGGCAGAAAATACTAATTCAATAACAAGATAAAACCACGTGATGATCATGGTTGATTCTACAAACTGTCGCACATTTGATATTTTAGTAGCGTAATGTGTAGCGGGTTCGGTTCCCGCACGGAGCAACTCTTTGTGTGATCCACAAATTGTTGTTTTAGGTATAGGTGTAATGTATATGTGATTTTGTATGTTTGCTAAACGCACCTACGACACAGGAGAAAATCTTAGTGTGGGGTTATGTTTTTTTTTAAAGAAAAACAATAAAAATTTATACGCATTTCTCCAAAAGTTATGGTAAAAATAAGTATTTTATGGTGATGTCATGAAAAGTGTTTAACACTAAAACTAACCATTAGGATGTAAGTAGGGTATGAACCGAGCGTGTTGCCGTAAACAGATGTCTGCGCGTACGTCGCGTGTCGCTGCGCATACGACGCCCGCCCAACACGTGCGCACTTGGAAACCGGCGCCTTCACATGCACTCTCCGATGTTATGCTGGAAAATGAAAACGATATTATGATTTATAGTTAATGGTAAGAATAATTGGTAAATAAGTCACTTTGAAACATAAAATTGTTGTTTAAATAAACATAATTAACTATGTAATCGACTTTACCTATTAGTAGGGTGAGCCCAAGAAGGGATTTTGGTACATACTCGAGCGCGTCAGATTATCATATGGGGAAAACCTAGTGTCATGTTGAATATACCCACCATATATCCGATCTGATTAGAAGGGGGGGATGAAAAATTAAAAAAAAATCTGACTAAATAAAGTCAGTTTCGTCAGATTAAGGGAAGGTAGGTCAATACCATACTAAAGGAAGTGCGTTTGAAAAATCTGGCCATTCCAACTTGATTTGCAAGAGTGGGGGGATTTTGAAGGGTTCTCGTTTGTACTCTCCAGAACATTCAACCCCACCATGCAAACTAGCAGATTAAGAGTTTTTTTATTATTAAATACACATGGAGCATGTACACTATCAATATCTGATACGCTCGACCACTAGAACAAAAGTTACGCTTAACAATTTCAAAGATCTGTGGATTCCCCCTTCCCCCACCGGTGGAAGAAATTGTCACTAAACCATTTCTTCATTCTATCAGCATATCTTCAAAATCCAGTAGGTCCCAATGACGCTCAAGTAAATCCAAATTTAGCATCGTGGGCTCCCCTACTATATTACATCTTGTGCGGACATAGTATAAGCTCGAAGACGTTCAGTACTGAACATACGTCCTTAGTCGGACATATCGAAAGATAATTCGCAATTAACTTAATGCAAGTGTAAATTATTGTATTACAAATGTGTCTTCTACAAATTACTATTGGAATACCAAAGTAAAGATATGGGTACTCACCCTTTGTACCTGCACCTTCTGATGCGTGTCCGCAGACCATACCCGCAGTCAGCGCTACAGTCACTCCACGCGCCCCAATCACTCCACTCTGGTTTCTCACTCTCTATCTCTTTCTCCTCCATATTACTACCTCGTTCTATCACCTCGGTTTGCTTGTCAGTTTCAGTCTTGATAGCGTGTCCAGGCATCGGTTCACATATGCGATCCACACACCACTATAAAAGATTGGAAAAATATATTGTAATTAGAAACCATTTTAATTTTATTTCTTTTCATGAGCTATAAAGCTTCACTTTGAATTTTTAATAGTACTATGTGAGGGTTTCTTATCGCAAAATGTATATACTGTCTAATACGTAACTCCCCTCAAAGATGATCAGTTCAAGAGTAAATTAGTACGCGCTTATGTGTGAAAATAAAAGGAACTAAGTACCTACTACTGACACGTGCCGAGAAAAAAAGCTGATAACGTAACTATCAAATATTTATAAGATTAGTAAAACCTGCGTCACGCGTTGGCGAAATATTCTCAAAACTTTCTCAGCATGAAGTATTGCAAAAGTGAAAAAAAATGTAAACACAATAGAAATCTATAACAATTCTACCGCCAGCGAATTTTAAACTAGATTTATCAATCTGCAATCCTCGCCGTCAATATTTTACGGTTCAAATGGATACGAGTCATAAAACGAAGCGTGACTGTTATTGGATATAAAGATTTTAGTTCAAAGGAAATAGATATGGCCAATAATACTTATGTTTTACTTCAGTCTCTTCTCTTTAGTACGCACAACAGAATATAACAAAGAAAAATAAAATTATTACTATCCAGCTGTTTCTGCAAAGCCTCAAAGCGGCTTTATTATAAGAAGATTAGAAAGTCCTGCAGTCCGAAGGACGATTTTATATTTGTTTTATTTTATGTCACTTTCTGGAAAGGCAGACAGTTTTAAAGATAAAGATCTTTTCGGAAAAATTCAATCAAGAAAAGAGTGATGGTCTCATCTTCGTACTCTATTACAATAAAGTAATAACAAATATGTCTACATGAGTCAAGCTTTGAACTTACGATTATAAGCGTTCACAAGAATTCCAAAAATAACATTGAGGCGCGTCGCATGCCCTTTACGGAGCTAATTACTTTCTGAGAACTTCAATGAGAGATCTATCTATCTCGTCGTTCAGAAAACACGCCAGTTTAAAATGAAACGGGCATAAGTCCTTATTGAAATTTTCTCGGATTGAAATTGGTTTTAAATTGTCATTGAATTTCGAATGGGCATGAAAGCGCTCTAGGATTGCTGTGTTATTTCATGGCTGCGTACAATAGAGATCGCGTCGGTGGCGGTATTTATCTGGCGGCGCCAGCACTCGTCATTTGCATAGCTTGAAAAACATATTCACAAAGGATTTCATCGAATTTATGCGCACACACGTGCCCTCCGTGTGCGAGCGATGGAATCCTTAGTAAGGTATGCGATAGCGACACGCGAATAACATTAAAACGTTCTATTTTTCGAATATGTTAGTATTGCTTTCGAATATGTAAATATTGATATTAATGTTGTTTAGTACAGAGTAAAGTAATAATAATTTCATAATTTCAAAACGAATGCTGATCAATCGCTTTTCTGTTATTTAAGTTCCATTTAAACTCAAAAGTAGGCCATTAGCATTATTTTTATAGGCTTTGTATACAAATGCAACGGACGTGTGTATGGCTTGAACTTCCTTGTGCATTGTGTAACTGTAGAGTATAGAATGATTTGTGTATGTTTCGGCAGCTGGTTGTGTTGTATGGTCGCGTTACCTTGTTGTGACCGCAGGGCGTGCCCTCGAGCGGCGGCGCGCGCTTGGAGCGGCAGACGTGCGGCATGGCGCGGTGCGCGCACCACAGCCGCGAACACGCCGACCGCACCTTCACCGACTTGCACACTGAGAACCTGACAAACATACAAATTAAATTAGGTATTGTAATATGTAATTATATCTACTTTTACATTACATTTATTTATGGTTGGTAATTCAAGAGCTAATTATTTTCGCGTATGATTTACGGCGGTATATTTATAAGTCAGACAACATTCCAGTAAAAATCCAACTGTTATTGTACTACCTCTATTTAATAGATAGATACTCTGTGACTTGTAAGTCGACCTTTCTATTTTGCCATTATTGCTTCAGACGTCTTTCGTATTTTTATTTCAATCTACGGTTAAATCCATCATTGTTTCGATCCAATAACATTGAAAGTGATTGAATTATTTGCTAAATAAACTTACTGGCATTGGATCTTAGTAGTTGTAAATTGAACTGTGTATATAGCTGTTATATTTGTGTCGAATAAAAAGAATTTGGTAGGTGTTAAAGTCCAGAAATTGGCTGTCAATTCTAGTAATCTGACGAACGAATACAATTTATATACAAATAGTTTGATAATGTATCCTGTCGGAAACGAGCATAGTGCATACCAAATCTACCTACACACATAACATCACTAGAACAAGTTTGTGAATCGCTAAAAAACTGCGATAGAAATAAGTTAAGAGATGAATATAGCCGCTGCAAAGACTTCGTAATCCAAGATTGATTTTTGAGCCGACGTTTTTACTTTCGTGAATCGTTATATGCTTAATATTAGGGTACATCCACAAATGGCAAATTGACCGCAAATGTGCAGATCGCGAGCCGTTTGGGAGCTGCCCGCGATCAGTGCGCGTTCAGTCACGGCAATGGTTTGGTGCGCCTCTTTAGTGCAACTCATGCAAGTTTCTTGCAAATAATAATTTTAAATACATGCGTGCAGCTCACGGGCAGCTCGCAAACGGCTTGCTAGCGGCCCATTCACGGAACATTCGCCAGATGTGGACACACTCTTAGTACCTACCATCATGAAACTCAAAACTATCGAGATATTTATTTATTAACTATTGAGGTAGTTAAATAATTACTTCTGCTTGTCCGACTGCAGCAATTGACGTATTATTATAATGTCAGATCGATTTCTTATAAATGGCAGCGTAATAATTAAAAACCGAGTTTGTTACTCTTAGTGAAGATTATCAAATAGACAATGTATTCACCGATATATTGAAGAGTAACATGATCTAAAATTCTTGCGACTTATTTAGAAACAATATCATTGGACGCGATGATAGCTTGTTTACACTCTCATTATTATGCATTGAAAACGTTTGAATAAAATATTTATCGTTCCTTCTTTATTGGCTCCTTTTATTCTGAGAGCCCTAGAAATTGAAGGGCTGAGTTAATTTCGGGGATTAGGAGATGTTGATACAAATGCGAGTCTTATGAGAGGTTTCAGGGGGTTATTTGTGAGAACATACATGTTTTCAATTAGAGTTAACAACTGTGGAGATGATACAAATGTGATAGCTAATTCTTTACAATGTGTTTTTAATTAGTGAACGCGTTGCGATCTTATGAACGGATGTAGCTTTACAGCCGTGTGTGACTATAGTTTACAATGAAATGATATTTTTGTAATAGTTACGTTTTCATTTATTGTAGTTAAAATATAATACCAGTATTTAATTTTATCTTCAAAAATGTAATTCATAAAAAAAAAATTATTATGTATTTCGGCTTCGCAGCGCGACAGTCGCCGCGTCGCGGGTTGTAGAATGCTGCTCATGAATATGAGCCTCTTGCATGGCGTGAAACTAGTCGAGTTCCTCGTCAAATAATTCCGTGAGTAAGCCGAAAAACATACTAATTAATTATATACCTTGATTACGCTACTGATTCTGTTTTCATTTCATTTTAAAGTATTTTCTTTTTAAAGTATTTAGCATAGGTATTAAAATTGTTATTAAATAAATACAAGAACACAACATACATACATATTTGTAAGAGATGAAGTATCCAATTAAACATAGTGATTGGTAATACGATAGCAGTAATGTAACAAGATACAGGGGGGACTTTGTGGCTACGATTTCAGAATGATTTCAAAGGAAGCGACGGCAATGGACTACGGACTAATAAGCTGGAAGATGGGATTGTGCTCCGGGCTGTAGATAGTACACTTTGTTATAGAGAGCAGACACTGTGACTGTCTGTGCCTTTAACTACGGCTTCAGAGCATTCACGAGATACTCCGATGTTACTGAATTTAGGCGTCGATCTTTTCATAATGATATGGTATTTAAATCAAGACGAAACCTTAAATTCGAAAGGTGTTCTTTAAATTTCGTACATACACGCTCAGTAGACTGCCTCGGTGGCCAAGTAGTCGCAAGTGCGACTGCTGAACGATTGGTCTCAGGTTCGAGTCCTGGGTCAGGTCAAGTATTAAAATAAAAAATAAATAAAATAAGCCTTTATTACTGTGGTTACAAATTTACAATTTGGTCTCTATTACTATACTATACGGATAAAGTATTACTGGCTTTTAAAAACAATCTCAGCTATAGCACGGAGTCTGGAATTATGCCTGGTATGTGGAAATAGGCTCACCCCCTATTATTATAGGACTCATATCTTAAATAGTGAAATGTAGGTGATACATTCTACAGTGGTATTAAGTGCCGTAATATGCACCTCTGCCAACCCATTTGGGAATAAAAGGCGTCATGTTACATTACGTTGTTACGTTACATGCGCAGTATACAAAATCACCGGGTATAGGATATTGAATAATTTATTATATTTTGTAAGTGGAAATAGTAGTTGTGGACACTGTTAGGCATAGTATCATAGTATATATAATTGTATTGAATAGGAGAGAACCTAATAATACTTGGGTACAGTTATAGTAGACTTTATAGTCATAAGACATTGTTAACTTAGGTTTGATAGCTACCTACGAGGTCCCTTCGACCCATAAAGTACATAACGTGTATAAATACCACAGTGTGTACCCGACCGAGTACAGCTACATATGATTGTGTTACAGTTAATATTGAATCTGAGTCACAAGTCGCTACAGTTGTTTCAGCTCAACTATTTCAATGTATGTATTTAGGCAATGTGTTTGGTGTGTAAGCAACAGTTTATTTACTTTGTGGAATTGTGTGCTTTCCAGGAACATGATAATGTGAAATTGTTATGTGGTTTTATTGATCTTATTTAATGCTTTCTCCGTAATAGATACATTCCAACCAGATGTTTAGGATTTGGTCTCATCTTTTGATGCACTTCTCGGAAGATGCTGGCGTGATATTATTATTGTTTTATTGAAATGCCTGTTTAAGCTTTGCCAGCTGCTTTGACAAGCTTGAAAGTTTTCACGAAGCTCATCTAAATACTGAATACGTGATGAGAATGACTTGAAGCCATATTGCGCGCAATGTGCGAGCTTTGGAATAAGTAGACTTTAACTACCATCCAGGAATTAAGTTCTGGCATTCCAAATAGTCATGTTACATTTATAACTATTCCGTATTACTATTAAAATGAAAATAGGGAATGTACTTAATGTTCTTTTACATAAATTTTTGGTGGACTTGTTGTCAAAGGTAATTAACCTCAAATAAACGGAGTATCACATCCCTTATTCCCCGAAGAGGTCAACTGAGATAGGTCTCTAGCTCTCTACATTACAAATATTAATCTACACAAGTAATAGGCATAAAAATATAAACGGACGTAGATAGGTACGTGTATCTCGCACAGATGATAGATTGTACAGCACTATCCTACACACGACGGATGACCTCTCATTCATCACTTTCAATCACGCCAGTGCCCAATACATACAAATAGAGCAATTTCACGCTTCATCAACGTAAATAAAAGTACCGTATATGTAGGTACTAGTGAATAAGCAATCAAGTTAATTCCCAAACCACAAACTAACGAAACGCGAGACAATAAACTATCATCCTTTGTGCCCAATAATTAGAGCACGTCGAGCTTTAATGAACGACCCAAATACCGGCTTACGTATCGGACCATATGGTTGTAAACCAATCAATGATAACGACATTATTATGGAAAAATTGTACCGAAATCAATAAACTCTACAGTTTTATTGTGATTTAATTGATAGCCAGATGTGAACTGTAATTTTGTACAAGGTCGAGAGTTTTGAAGGCTACAAATTAGCATCATCATCAGTCATTGTTTAATATACCTACTTTAAACCATGACTTCTGAAGCTTGGCATACTATGAAACTGTATAAAATGATGAGTCTGTTACTCGGCCTAAGAATGAAATAACACTTGCATATATCATACATTATGAAGAAATGTTTATCACTCCACTCAACATTCTACAGTCCGATTCAATCAGTTTATTTGCGATATTCCTAAGTGTTATTTCAGTCATAAAACTTTATTCTCTGAATTTCACTCATTTACTCATCAACAGTTAATAATACCAACTTTCACGATGTTGCTCAATCGTCAGTCACATAAATTGATCAATTTTGTCAAAGTAACAAGGGAATCAAGACTCCTGCCTGCTCCTAATAACTTTGATTAATGAAACAAGATACAGCAGGATATTTCATTGACAACATGTCAAACTGTCAATTGTGTTATACGACATTCTATAATTGTGGTTGATCCTCGATGCGGGCGCAATTATAAAAAAATATAATGTATTGACACATTCGAGTTTAAAAGAAAATAATAATTAAGGTTTCGACTGTCAATAGAAAACGGTTGAAGGCAAATCCTCCTCTAGCGTCGGTCACCGGTGACCCCCATGGCGTTTAATGTGTTAATATGTACCTACATACATACAACTATTTAACGTATCACACAAACAACGTTATGATAGAGGTAAGGTATAATTAAAAGCATTAATAACTCGATGCATTAGTGCATACTCGGAAACGTGCTACGTTTGTTAATTGGTTAATTACGAGCCTACCACTGCACTGAATTTATCGATCGATCCGTTTATAGCTTATCAAAACAGAATTATACTCGACAAATACGAGGTTACACTACAAAGTTTCATGTTGGTTTACACTAGAAGTATCTTTGGAATATGATAAAAATTGCCCAGTGTATATTTCTAGTGTTGCCAAAATTGTCTATGTTTGTACAAGCATCGTATTTGGGCGGCAACAGGGCTCGGTGAGCACCGCGCTATACGGGACACTACAGTTGAGATTTTTCCGATAATCTGTTTACGTGTAATCGAATCTGTGCAAGCGGCGTGGCTGGAATATATTTGCGGCGGGCGCCAATTGCATTATAACCGAACATACTATTTGTATGTTTGAACCAAAGTGTTTGGCTTTAAGTCTGACAGAACAAGATACTTTTTAATGTCTTGAAGTAGTTTTAATATGACACCTGTGGTGCAGTTTTATTTCTGCTGCTTTTATGACTCGAAATGTCGCTCTGCCGTCCCACAAGGCAACTTTAACTGTGTGTTTACTGTTTACAACATACTGTTATGCGGGCTGATAGACATCTTGCTCACTTTTATAAGAGCAAACTTGTTACATTTTAACAAATTAAAAGGTCTATCTTGGGCAATACCACGCTACCACTTGTAGACAATTAAACAATTGGGCCGTCTATTGAGATTAATCCCTGACCGTGTTGGGCTACAGATCCAAAGTAAATAGGATTAGTCAATACAGTTTCCGCATAGTTTGATTACTCGAGGCTCTGGTTAAATAAAGTGGAGGTGTATACCTACTAAGGTACATATTTTCCTATATATCTGTTAGTTATTGTTTACCGGTTCAGCGGCACGTGGTTCCATATATAAATTTGTGGAAGCATTCAGTTTACCAATACAACATAGCACTGATATGTTTGTAATATTGAAATCCCAAGAACAATAATAATATGTATTCGTGTGTAACAAACCGGAATATTCAACAATAACGGGAAAAGCTTTGCATTTCAAAAGTTTCAGAACAATAACTATTTGCATTATAGGAGTGAAAATTACAGAGTTTATATGAGCTACCTAGATGTTATGCTTTGGTAATTTGGGGTAGACAATAGTAATGATTAGCATACCTAGACTTGAACGAAACACGCACAGCCGATTGCGACAGTCGCAGTCTTTGCTTCAACCATTAGTTTTAGTCGCTAGTCATTTTACTTTTATTGTATTAACAAAGACCTTTTTTACTTAGTTACTTGTTTTAATAAAGAAGTAGTAGGTAGCATTTTCCATTTTAATAAGATTTAATTTTTCATTTTAGATTTCTTATGTGCTTGAGAACTAACTCAGTAACTTATAAGTAATGTATAATATAATTGATCGTAACTATCAATATTTATTATAGTGATTTACACAGTGAATTATAAGAATAAATATATTACTATAGGTACTGTAAAGTAGGTACGACATTTTACAGATTTTATTAGGCGGTAAGCCATATTGTTGATAGATAAAAATGACGTATTATTCGTGGCTATATAGTAATAATATTTTATTAATTCGCTAGCAGACATGGTTTTTTTAATCATATGAAAACAGTAGGTTGGAACAAAGGGCGGGCACCCTTTGATGGCGAGCCTTTTCATAGCCTCGAGCGAGGATCGACATTGGAAGCTCAAAGGACGAAACGACATGATTCTTTTACAAAAAACCAACTCAAATAATACAGTTCCAAGCTATGTTTATTTTTTGTTTTATTACAAAAGTTTAGTTATTATTTTGATACACGATGCAGGAATGCTTTATTACTTTCTCGTTAAGTCTTATTTATTTATTGTCTTAAAGCGTCATAGAAGATATAATAATGGTATTAAACTATAAGATAGATTTATACTCAAGACATAATATCAAAAACCAATTATGTTAAAATGTCGAACAGACATGAGCAATATGACTATCAATTCTAGGATTTTCTGCTTCAATATGTTAGTGAATAAATCAAAATGTTCAATTATTATACATATAAGAATATAAAATATATAATTGTATTTTTATACCTTACAATAATGAACATCCAGGAAACTTACCTATTAAATACAATTTTAATGAGCGTCCTCATTATCTTTCATTATTCAAGCTTTAAGATTATTATCGGATATGAAAATATTTTCCTTCGTTGGTTGAACTTACGACATTTGGCCTCGCCTAATATAATATTAGGTACTTCCACTAGGTACCAATACTTATACTCTCCGACTGTTTATACAGTATGACTAACAAGTCTGAGAACGCTTTATTTGTTTAGTAAATCATATTCTAATTTGGTTTCGTAAATTCAGGTACAATTATTACTTTTAACATATAACATCACGCCTTTTATCCCCGAAGGGTTAGGCAGAGGTGCACATTATACCATTGTACAGTGTAACACCCACTTTTCACTATTTATGTTATGAGTCCCCGAGTCCCATGTAATAGGGTGTGAGCCTATTGCTATTGCCATATACCGGGCACAATTCCAGACTCCGTGCTATTACTGATTATTACTTTTAAAAGGTTCCTTAACATTTACTTTTATAATTTTGTGTTTGAATGATTTTATAGTTTATTTTATTTGGTTGTTTTACGTGTCTAGGTTATATTTCACTTACAAATTATTAAATTGAATTCTAAATCATTAAATAGTCCCAGTCCATTTTGAAAGTAATTATGTTTTAAAATCATAATTCATAATGGGAAAATTAAATGAAAAGAATGTCTTTGGCTTCTTTCTAGTTTTGACCATGAAACAAACAATGAAAAAATTTAAGCCAAAAATTAAGTTCACTTCATCTGAAACTAGATTCATCAAAGGAGGATTTTGAACGTAAAAATTGCAACAAATGTAATTGTAATAAAAACGAGGAATTTATCCTTTTACAACAAATTGCAGTTGCCATCTTGGACTCCAATTGAATCCGAAGTAACGTTGAATCCAATTCTATCAGCTAGACTTGTGACAGGGGATTGGCTATTTTTATCTACAATTGGAACCTACATAGGTCCTATTATTATTAAAGTAAATAGGTACAAAGGCAATAGAGTGATTTGTAACAGTTAAGCGGGGGATATTTTAAAGTATTTAATTAGTTAAGTGTATTGAACTTAATTAATTAGATACTTTGAACCGTTATGCCGTTACTGATTACGTAAATATTTATCTTAGAAAAGATCATCAAAGGTGAGTGGTAATTGATATTAAATATACTTAGCGGTTAGTGCGCCGTATAGTGAAAATATTTAAATGTTAGAAGTCACATTTGCTGGTTGCATATGATGGTATTGATATTCACCAATAACTATACTAATAATTCTTCTTTATGTAATAACAATATTAAACAGTTATTAACTAAAGTTTTAACGTTTTATTTCTCCAGTGGGATTGTTGTGCACTTCAATCTCATATTATATTTTTATGAGTCTTGAAACAGTTTATGCGGGCCTCTGGCTCGAAACCACGTGCTCGTTATATGGGTTTACCATAAAACAATTTTATCGGTTTTTATTGTGGTTTATATGACTCAGATTTAGCAAAAAGCTGAAATCCCCATTGTTTAGCGTTAAACCAAGAGTATTGACCTTTCAAGGTCAAGATTACAACATTTCTAGGTAATAAAATGAGTACTGCCTCGTTGGCCGAGTGGTCGCAAGCCGGGCAAGGGGTTTCGGGTTCGATTCCCGGGTCGGGCAAAGAATTACTGGGTTTAAAAATAAAATCTCAGTAGTAGCAGGGAGTCCGGAATTGCGCCCGGTATGACAATAGGCTCACCCCTATTACATGGGACTCATAACATAAATAGTGAAAAGTGGGTGTTATACTTCTGTGTGCACCTCTGCCTACCTCTTCGGGGATAAAAGGCGTGACGTTATGTTATGTAAAATTAGTACAAGTAATTGAAACGTTTATTATATACCTCGTTCCGTAAATGTTGATGTGATGAAGAACAAATGTGCTAAAAGCTTTCGGAAGATAACATTTTAGATTGATAATAAAGACTATATTCGTTTAATTTTATATGCTTAAGTACATACATAAATCAAACATTTCTTAATATAAATTATATATCGAATGTATCGATATCGAACAGATAAAAGAAAGAGCTAAGGAATTTTCCACTAATAAAGTAGCTGGAAAAAGAGTTCGTGATAGAAATATTTGTGTTATTTTTAAGCCGAAAGCCCTTCTTACTAGAATGAGTAGAACAGTCTACGGAACAGGCCTATAAATGTAATGTTTTAAGTTGTAGAAATAATTAATACTCTCTAAGGGATGTGCGGTTGCACTGTGAGGGTTCTGGAGCAGGTCTATAAAAGGACCCGGTGCCTCTGAAAGGGACTGATGGAGTGATTTTAGTGAGGTGAGAATCCTACACTTCTCTTGTCTTTCTCCTCAAAAAGCTAAGAGCCCTTTTTTGGTTTCTCTCCGTAAAAATGGTTGATAATAAAGTTAATACTCACCCTTCACCAAATTCTGTGCGGCACTGTTCATCCATAGTGAATACATAGTTGGATATTTCTTTGGCACCACCCAACTCCACTCCCTCATCATGACTTCGTTCATGCAAGCACCACCAGCGTCTGTACAAAACAGTATAATTAAATAAATCAGGAACTGTTAACAAAACCCTAAAGGAAAAAGATCTTATCGACATTAAGGAAATATAATTAGGGTCAGATTTAAGATTATTAAGGTTGCCTACGTTTCAATGTCAAATTGATGAATCGGGTAGATATAAGAGACACGTTGTTACAACACTTTAGGTATTGTTCCTAGTTACAACAATAATAATTGCATTTACCTATTTCTGTAACAATTTGACAAATGATCTCACATATACCTACGTCGCGTCGCCATGTATTAGTGGTCAACCAAACCTAACCGTGCAGGTGGCACAGGAAGTGATGACGTCACACATAAATAGTGTTAATTGGACGACCAAACCAACAAGCTTACTGTACATACTCCTTTAATGGCTCTAAATATTTGTCTATTTCACTATGAATGAGACGCTAAAAACTTCTGTTTAAATGAAGGATGACTATCGTTAAAAATGTACCCATGTACACTTTATTGCTTAAATCAATATTCATACATAGGACTGTAACTTTCTTACTCTGTTTCCTTACATAATATTGACAGAGACACTCGTATCAAAATCGCCGTTAAGCTCACTTCCATTTCTTTTATTTTACTTAGAAAGACAAATATTCCTTTCATATTATTCACCTGTTGATTCCACAAATTCCCAACTTCGTTCGCTCTCAACAAGTCAACGTGATCTAAGATTCCTTTTCGCGAGCTACATCTGCCAGCGGAAAGCTGAGCTTCTTTTGTAATATGCTCAAATAATGTGGTTAATTTATGGTCGTACTACAGGCAACGAGGGTTTCAGTATTGTGCGATAGAAATAAAATAGTGAAAATACAGCCACCTTACACAGTTACACAGTTGGTAGGACCGTTATTGTTCAGAAAATGGCGGATATAATATGTATGGTACTTTGTTAAATAGATAAATAAAAATAATAATTATCTTATTTCTGAACAGCGCTTATGTGCCTACGGAAATAACCTTCCACTAAGTTTTCCCTGGATCACTATTATGGTGTCATTTACGAAGAAGTGCATGAAAATATGTTTGGCAACATACAAAAACAATTAAACCACGTGGCAAGCGGAACGTACCCCGCAAAGTGATTTTACTATTCAATAGACGTGCCATTCTCGCACCGCTTTAACAGCACCTTTGAAATGCAGAAAATTTGTTCTCAGGTGGGTGGTCCTAAAATAATATTTTGTAAGCCAAAGTTCCAGGGATTTGTACTCGTACTTCGGTACCTTACATGCTAAGTTTAGATATAGCTTTCAATAAAAAGTCAACGGACTACCGAAAACGATAATTTAATCCATTCAGTTTGCATTCAATTCCGGTACTTGTCGGAATATTTGATAGTCTTAATATAAGACGTCTGATATATTTTTTTTAAGGAGGGAAAATCATCGAATCGACTGCTCCCGCCTGGATGAGACGGGAGGGAGTGTCAGACCCTTACTGACTAAAAACCACCCCGTTCCTTCTCCTGCGCTTCGAGCCGGAGCCCCGGTAATCCGTTAGGTTCTCCACGACTCCGAATATGACGTCTGATATCAAGACCTGACAAACTATCAATCAATGTAACATAGTGATATCGGAACCACAATAGGGTTGTCGAAGTGACACCTTAGACACATCAATTCAGATTCCGAAATATTGTTTTCTTTTGATGAAAAATCTAAAGTCAAACTAAAATAGGCGATTTAGTTCCTAATTTCTTAAAATATTCTTAAAAAGACAAAAAACTAAAGTGTAGATAACCAATCCAATGACTAAAGTACTTACTTGGACTTATCGTGGAACTGTTCTTTAGAGCAGGAAGACCACGCATAGTTGTGGAGCGTGGCCAAGACTGTTGGGGCCATCACGGATCCTCGTACTGCTTCGCTCTGACACTGACTGTCGCCGTCGTGAGTCAACCCAAGTCTGTGGAGGATTAACAGGATATTACACATTTCGATAACGCAATCATCTAGGGTTTGTATACAATATATATTTTTATGATTAAATCTGGTATTGTTCACAAAGTCGACGTAAATTTGCAGTGATTTAAAATATGACATCTGTTCTTATATTATATTAAAATAATAATTTCGTCATTCTCACTACGATAGGTAGTTATAGTTATTTCGATCATTATACTCATTTAATTTGTCCTACATTTTTCGGGCTTCTTCATTTCGTATTATGTCCGAATATTCGAAATAGCGAATTCCGAAAATTCGGTAGCATATGTAATAAAAAGAAATGAAATAAAAAGTTTGCACTGGCAGTGGCATCCTACCCTTTGAACTTTACGAATACCTAGGACTTTGTAATGATTGACCTGTACGTCACAATCGGAATTGAAGTTAACATGTACCTATATGCTTATGTATAATACGTCGGTTGATTTTGCGGTAACAAAGGATTTTTTCTGTGGAACGCAGTCATAAATGAAGGAATTTCTATATTTAGCTTTTTTCTCCTTTTATGAGTACAACGACGCACATAAAACATAAACTACAAGGCGATAATGACATTTGAAATCAACAGTTGTATTCTTTCTGAATAAATATTTTATTTGATTTGGTGTCACACAACAACAGAAATCAAATTGATACATATGTATCAATTTGATTTCTGACACCAAATCAAATTGATACATATGTATATGTGTACCAAAGTAGTATACCTACTTAAATGGCTTGGAATTGTCAACAATATGTTTACTCACTACTACAAATTATATACCAGGACTTTGGAACCCCTTGCCTTTGGTAGCTACAGAGCAGTGAAAACAAAAATACGCCATCAATCTTTAGCTACGTTCCCTACTGACATTAAAATCTATTTAGGTGTCAATTACAGATGAATGTACCGCAAACCTTTTCAATTTACCGCACTCGACTTACGTTAGATTCCTTTTAAATGGAGCGGTTTGCTTTGAAGTGGGTTTGTAAGAACCTTATGAGTATGTCGGCAATTAGCCCGTAGCTCATGTAGCTTCGACATGACTCAACCAACGGTTGAATAGTTGCTAGCTACCGTTTTAGGATGGCTGTTACCAAATTGTTACGCTTTTGGAACCGAGTAATGACGCTAATAAAACCCACGTTCAAGGGCTGGGAGGTCTACGATATAATTGTAAACTATTTAATTATTTGTAAGTACATAATAAACAAGGTTATCAGTATACGGTAATCTATACTACTATTGTAAAGCTGAATAGTTTGTTTCTTTGTTTGTTTGAACGCGCTATTCTCTGAAATTACGGATACGATTTGAAAAAAAAAATCTGTGTTGATAGCCCATTTATCGAGAAAGGCTTATAGGCTATGGAACATCACGATACGATTAATAGGCGCCGAACAGAGCGAGTGAAACCGCGTGGAAGTAGCTAGTGTTATATAAAGTTATTCTAACTGGTATTTTTTACCTAATTGCAAAAAATGATAAGGTTGAAAATCTTTCGACAGTTCGTTGTGTCTACTTATTAATGTATTAAAATGAAAACATTTTAATTAAAAAGTACTCACGTCACAGACTGCAAAACAAAAACAACTTTTCAAATTAATTATGTGCTCCAATAATTAAAATTGCGTTTCTCCAATTTTCTCGCGGGCCGTAACAGTCATTTGTTTTTGTGAGCTGTTTCCTTTTTTATTTTATTACAATTAATAGTTATTACGAATTTATTTATTAATGGCCAGTTCGTTTTGTTTTTTTTTTACGTAGAACCTCTACACTATCAAACTTTTTGCATCTTTAATATTCCTATGAAATTAATAAGTTGATAAAAATAGTTGTGTTTTGTGCTCAACATCATAACCAGTCATGATAAAGAGATATTATGTTCTATATATTTTGATAGGCCATCTATCAATAGCTTGTCTTACATCTAAGTAAATTCTAGAAACTACCTCGTCGGAGTGATATACAGAGAAATTTCGAGTACCTAAATAATGATTAATTTCCTTGCATGTTTACCCAAGACCTCCCTTCAGGCGAATTAATTAATCCTGGTGAACGAAGCTAATTGCGCGTGCGAGCGGGGCATGCCGCGTGTCCTACTAAATGTGCCGACACGACGACGTGACGGATTAATCGACGGAACGATTCTGGAAATTGTACAAATCGAGCTATATAAACCAGTTTATCATGGTCTCATTTTGTATGATTGTTCCGCACATTCGAAGGTCAGTTTATACTGGTTTAGTATGGTTTGATATATATGTACACAATTTACGTGAATTTGTGTACTGTACTGTGTACAGTTTATAGGTGCAAATAGTGTCGCTTTGTACTGTGTTTGTTCTGCGTATATCAATTAGCGTTTCTATTTGTTTGTAACTTTGTAGGCATTTGTACAAAGTTGTAGTTGTTTTGATATTGATAATCTTCATAAGGTGTCTTACGCACTTGATGATTAATTTTATAGGTATGTGTTACGATATTGAACACGACTGATGACACGATTTCTTTTCTTATACATATACATGCTTAAGCCTTTTGTCTTTTCATGGTTCTTAGCAACCGGGCTTCTCCCAGTTGTACAGTCTCTTTTTGTGCCTTTAAGCCTAAATTCATTATGCTTTCTGCAGTAATTCTCTGAGGGAAGTGGAAACTATCGTTACGATCTTCTCCTTGTATCCTCTGATTTATTTCGTAGCGGGAACCAAGACAGTTATTCATGTCTCTGGGATGCGCCGGACTTCAGTGTTTCGGTGTTTTCATGATTGTATCTACTGTAGATTCTGGCTTACAGAAGTTGCAACGGTGGGGAGGTAGAGGAGGGCTTGTCCCATTGAAAAAAAAAATACATTAGATAGATACCTACTCTTGTATTTGTTAGTAAACAAAGGAATTAGAGATAATTATTGTCGAATAAATGTTTTTTCTTCTTTCTTTCCTTCTTTTTATTTTCTGAAAGGGCTAAACATGTGGCAAATAGTTTATCAGTAGTCACATGTGCAACAGTTCAGTCTATTATTTACACAAACGGGTTGTATTGCATAGGTATTGTAGGTATTATTCGATACGTATTTTAACAAAGAAAGTTTTACTATTTTTTTTTCAATATAGTCAAAACTATAATTAACAGATTTTAAGAGCTCCGGATATGTTTAGGAACTAGCGATAATAGTAAAACCATATACGCAATACTAGCTTTTATGTCTACCTTGTTAAGGTATAATTTTGTAAATATAGACATGTATATGTACATGTCTAAAGCTGTAAAGTCTAAGGGAATTAATTTAACAACGATTTTGTTAACAAGCAGTGCCTAAGGTTCTGTGAAATTATTATACGCTCATATTTTATTATAATACCTAATTTGGGAACGTTATTGAGAATAAGTAAAAAGGTATAATATTCCCCTATTCGCTTTAATAAGTAGCTTAAGAGGCCTTAGTCCGAATTTGTTTTGCGTTTGAAGTTATTGTTATTGTAACGAGACCGCGTTCGGTGCACTGATTGGCTGGTTTATTGTAGCCGACCAATCAGGGCACCGAACGCGGTTTCGTTTCGATTATTTTAAACGTAAAACGTACCTAAACGAGTTTGATTTACGTCGGCTCCAATGAAGTAACCAATCAGAGCGCTGATCGCGATCTCGTTTCGATTACTTTATGTGTAAAATTTCAGACCTGTGAGTATAGATAGTTGCCGAATATATTTTTAAGTAACGATAGAATGACGATGGTATCTCGTGCTTTAATAATTAATTGAATGGTCAAATCCACACTTTGGAACTAGAACCTAGCTTCACTGATAGACAGACTGACGGACTATTCTGTAGCATTTTTATTTTAACTACCTATGAATAAAATAAAAGTTAAAATCCTACTTTAAAAATACGTTTACGAATTAAAAATCTTATTCAAATAACCGCCGGTTTCACACAGTTCCACTGTGTAAAGATGTGTATGTGTATCAATGACATGATTGTTTTTGTTTTAAACAGATGTCTAACTGTTTTTCTTTTTTATAAGCTGCCAAGACCATAACGATAGTGAGAGAAAAAGGCCTGACACATGCCAATGCCAAGCTAACATTTTTACAAAAAAAAAAAATGTTCATATTAGCGTGCCTTGACCAAGTTAAATATCGTTGGTCCAACAGCCCAACGGCCCAAACAATTAGGTTGACTAGATAACGTTTCCATATAAATCATAAATCATTCTGTCTGCCCTCTCCTTGCTATCTATGTTAGGTACAAACAACATCGTACATGTACCGTGGAATTATCTCCAAGAATACCAACATGGTTGCAATTGGAGCAGCTATAATTATATGAACCACAATCAAGTTAAATTCAGTTACGGGCCAAGGGCTTCACAAGCGCTTGAAAGGAAATTATTTACGTTTAACATCACTTGACATTAAAATACACGTTAATGTGTTTTTCGTAATAATAAATTACATTATGAGACGTTCATCTTGTTTTCACCTCGTCTTTATCGACGCAAGGTCACGATCACGCAGTTATTAATATAAACATTAACACCAATATATCATTTACTTTCTCCGCTAAACCTTGGTACTAAAAGTAGCGTGTACTCGTACAAATCGTGTACTTTGTGCGTGTGCGTGCCCCCGGCGGGACCCTTGTTCCAAACTGTGACAGATGACCGCAACGGAAATACATTTGTTGAACATACGGCACACATCAAAAGGTCAGAGCATGTGTGGAAACTTTGGTATATTTAGAACTGAGCGCTAAATGAGCTCAAAATACGCGTGGCGGCTGCATAATGCATGAGACGATACCACAGTACCTCAGTACGTACGGCGCGTAGACGGAGAACATCGAGCGAGGTAGCCGTCTCGGTACTCATTCATGTCGTCATTTTATTTCGGGCTATCATTACGTCATTTGAACGCCAGTCCTTTGTGATTGTGAGTCATCGACTGACGACCTCAGGTTATCTAGGCCTGATGTT